CAAAGCGCATTAAGGAAAATTATGTTCAAATGAATCTTTGGAGGCCTTTATTACAACCCATTACTGTTTATATGCTGGTGGCTTTGCGATAAATTTGGTCAGTTTGTTATCGTATGTGCTTTCTTCGGTCTTTGGTAGAATTGGTCTTCTCGAGCTCGTAGCGCTGAAAGAGCATGCCCATAAGTACTTCTGTTTTCCAGGTAGTCTCGTGCTAAACTTTGGTTAAGGTATGTGTTAGGGTTTGAAGGTTTAACTATATATTTAGAGTTGGTACGAGGGTTAGAGTTAAAGGTAAGACTACGGAGAAGGTATCCTCGTTGAATTTGAGTACTTTTTTCCAATAAGAAATACAACGAGCTCTTGACCATATAGGCTATTCTACTATCGCTAGTCAGATACCAGCACTCTTCAGTCCCTACAGCTGATAGAATCTTGGTGATTGATATTTTTACGCTAATTGGTAGTCAGCTTTCTAAGTGGTGAGAACACGAGATCATTTCAATGCGCAGAGATACTCCCGGATGCTTGTTTGATTATGGCGTTTTTACCCGGCCTAAGGAAATGCGCACGCGTCGATTGCATTGCGGCAACATATAACCGATTCCTGTTTGCCCCAATAGAAATGATTTATTCTACTTTGCACCCTTTTATGTCCATTTATTTTTCCCCAGCATTTCGCCCTCCGCAAAAGATCACCTAATTTCCCCTGCATAAAGAAATGAAGTAAGCAAAGTCCACTCTTTGGCCGTGAGCTTTATCCGCGTTGCGTCTCCCTGCTCGTCACCCTTGATACCGGTGAATTCAAAATTTCCGCATGCCGTTCCGCAGGCTAAGGTGCTGAACAATGAGGACACGCCTGCAACTCGCAGCTTTTAATATTGCGCAACTCCTTCATTCTCTCAACGTGTAACAATTTCGTCATTATTTGCCAAATATCGAGCCTGAGTGATTGATGTTCGGCCGCACAGCCCTACTCGAAGCGAACGAATTTCATGAGGTCCAATCAAACGCGTGTGTACAGTGGATTGGAATCCAAATTTCGTTGATTATCAAAATACTTCTGGCAAGATCTGGTCCTGCGACGCCACTCGTCTGATTCCATATGGTTAGCTAACTGAAACGAGTTTAGTTAGCATAGCTACAGTAGGTGCGGTAATTCATGAAATGTTGACCTAAATTCTGAAATGCGTTTGCGTTTGGAAAAGATTACTTAGGTAACGTTGCAAAATGTATCCTCGTGCAGCATAATTTTATAATAATTGAGTTGTCCCGGGTGCGGCTTTTGAATAGACTTCTTTCCAGCTGCATGCAAAAACTATACTCATTCATTTGTCTCATTGATTTCCGATGCCCTTGACAATTCAATTATATTTAATGGAAAAAAAATAAAACATAAAATACATAAAAAACATAAAAAACATTTTTGCCCATTTGGTATAAAACTACGTCTTCTTTTGATTTAATCCTCGAAGAAAAGGTGCAATTCGGTTTTCAAAAACTTTTCTGATTCCCGAATTACTTTGGACCCGATCTGCGTTTCAATTGCATTCAGGGTTTTCAAAATACAAGCCATATATTACGAGAATGTTTAATACCGTGGAATGCTCGTTATTGAAACATCAGGTCTTTGCATTTGCTAATATGGCTTGTGAATTTTACAATATGCTCAAATCCATTGCTAAATTTCATGAACCCCATATGGTTTCCTCTTAATACCGTAGGGAAATGTACAATTTTCCCTACGCGGAAAATATATGACTTGTAGGTTGGAAACTCTGACTGCAAGTTTAACGGCAGGTCTGGTTCTAACTTACTCGGAAAATGGAGAAGTTTTTGAAAACCGAATTAATATTGATATTTTGGCAGATTTTTAATAATTCATTTTGACCCAACTGTGAAAAACTCGGTGCCTCGGTGGGCGCCGAGTTTTTCACAGTTAGGTCAATATGAAAACCGAATTACACATTTTCTTTAAGTACAAAATTGAAAGGAGGCCTAATTTTCTGCCAAACCAATGAAAAAATAAATATTTTTATACATATTTTGCACAAAATATAATTTAATAGTTTAGAACATCGAGAATCAATGAAACAAATTTATGCTACTTAAGGAATTAATTTTACAGAGTGTGGTCTTCGTATGCGGCCGAAATGAAGTCCATTCGAAAGCCGGCACTCGGAGGTAACTGAATTATCATAGAATTATTCTGTGGGATGATAAATTTTACAACATTACTTTTCGAGTCGAAAATGCATTTCAGAATTTCGATTAACATTCCATGAGTTAGCCAATCTACTGTAACATTGTCAGTCCCTGGAGAGAGCATAGACAGTACTCGAAACAAGCGTAGGGAAGTGCATGCGAGCCAAAGACTGGTGTACCTGAAGGGGGCGTGTACGCACTCCCCGCGACGCATCCACCCGAAGGATTAAGATGGCAAGCACAGTGCAGTTACAACTGCAAGGCCACAGAGGCATCTGCAGTTCATGGCCACTATATTGCAACCGACGCAGCTCAACACCGCCCTGACAATAACATTAGCAGGCTTAGTTAACCACTCTCTGGTTTGAGATAATAAAGATGGCGCAAGCAGAGGCCCGATCACGCGTAGGCAAGCGCGTGTTAACTGCCATTTGGTGTAACCGAGGCTGGCGTATAAGCACTCCTTCCTGGGTCACGGTCACTTGCTGGATAACAATGGTAAGAAAAGACGCAAACACGTGATATATGTAAAGCTAGCGTTATCGCACTACTAAACTTTTTTAGTTAGTTAACCGCATGGTATCAATCCAGTGGGGCTGTAGAACCAAACCTCGCCATAATTTCATTAAACACTGTTTATTCTTCGCGGACGGACTATGAATTAGCCTTTGTACAGTTAGCATGCAAAGTGGAAATAGCGTGTCCGCATGTGTGTATTTTGCTCCTATAATGGGTCACACGTTAGATGCACTGTGCCAACACGGGACGGGGTTTAGATGAGAGTTCGGTAGGCGTTATCGAGAATGTACACGCACAATAGATATCAACAACGGTGTGTGATGACAGGCCTAGTTGCTGGTATATTCCGCGATTATTGGGATTCGAGCTGCCCCTGATTTCTGTTGCGGTACAAAATGCTGGTCAGTGTACGTTTAAGATTAGGAGGGTGGTGGTGGTGTTAGACCTTGGGACGAGTTTTCATCACCCCAGGGACCTGCGTCCTCTCCCGCCTCCCATCTATTTGAACCCGTCTTGATATCGGATCTAGGTAGGGAAGGAAGAAGGAGTGCAATAGGTGCTGCGTAAGTTCATTCTGAACTAATTCACGCGCAAATCATCGTTCCTGCTCTAACCCTACCTTGGAGCACACGGTAAGCATCGTCAGCAACAACGGTCGAACTTTCGTGAGTTTGCCCAATACAATCGCCCCCAACTGAGGAGAGAGCTCGATTCCCTCCCCTCCAGAACTGAGATTCAGGCCGCAGTAGCTCCTGCTTAATGTGCTCTTTATGGCATTCTCACTGATGCTGGATCCGAACCGGCCTTACAGTAGCTTGCCACACGTATTGGTAGGCAGTTCGTGTGGGGCACGCGTAGACGGGCTGTCTAATCGTGTACGACACTGCGTTCAATCCCATCTTCGACCATGTTGGCACTGTCTTACCATCGCAATGAGGTAGTTGAGTGACGAGATAGTGTGGTAGGTGCTACGCAAGTCTTTTTCACTGAAAGCAAATTCAGGCGCATGTAGCTGATGCTGCGCCCTGTACGTGGGGCACACGGCGGTGGCCGCTGCATGTGACGATCGAACCGCCATTTGAGAGAGGAGGAAGGAGAGGATTTAACGCTAGTCCACCGTATTCAGTTGCATCTGCTGCACAATCTACCTTTATTACAGGGTTTGCACTTTATTATATAGTAACTACGTCACAGTGGACTGCCACACATCGCAAAGTTGGAAAGTAGTAAACAGCTCAGTTCTCTAGAAATAGTCCTTTATATCTTTTCTTCTAATGGGAAAGATGATTAAAATACTTCTCCTTTCCTTTTCAGGCGTGCTGTTTTGAGCAATCTGGGACTTTAGATGACAGTTGTGGGCGTCTCTTTCACGTCTTTAAGGCAACCATCGCGTTCTGTTAATGATGGCTATGTCCGACCTGTCGACAGTGCTGATTTTTGTGATAAACTATGGGTTTATTTGGGATGCTGCTGATGATGGTGGCGGCGACGGTGTTGGTGGTGGTGGTCGCGGTAATTGTTTCCGAGCTATTGCATGGGAGCAGAACACGATCCAAACCGACTCATGATTAGAGTTTTTGGGCTGCCATGAAGTTGAATCTGGAGGATTCTTACAGGCTATATATAAATATATATATGCAGAATGGCATTACCGACAAAGACAGAGAAGACTGGAATTGCCATTTCTGGCCTTTTAGCCGTAAGCACGATTGGTGAGCGCCCCCCCCCTACCACAATATATATATATATATAAATCCGCAGGTGTGTGTGTGAGGACTTTTGAGGGAACGAAGTTTTCAGCTGCTGTAGGCCTTGCTTAACAGGTTTGCTAAATATTCTGGTCGAAAAGTCCTCCCAGCTTTTGACGCCAGTTTTGTTGCAAGAAGTTCAAAACTTTCCCGTTTCCATGACAGATCGCACACCGCGATGAACATGTTTCGTGGTTTCATTAACCTTACTTCATTCGCAGACTCTGGTCCCGCATGATCCTAAACTCCAAAATCGGCCGAGTTTAGGAACTCAGTACCCGGTTTTCCGTGGCTTCTGTAGGTGCCGTAAATGCGCAAATTGCCCGTGGATCCGATACCAACCCTGATTCTGTCACGAGAATACATCTTAAAAATGACTTTTAATCGTTCATAGAGACTGTCGAGGAGAGGACAAAAATTGGCCTGGTGATTGTAGTTGAGGGAGAGAAACGGAGAAAGCTTTATTGCACATCATACTCTATACAGAGCAAAGATCAGAATATTCAGCCTTTGGGCAGTCCGACTCCGTTTTCATCCAAACCTGGAGTGAGAAAGGCGAAAAAACGAGAATTAAAAAGATCTTATATTTTTTGCAGATCAAAAACGAGTCAGACGTCGGAGAAGCAGAATCGGTTTATACCAAATGTGTTCTTTGAATACGTTTAAGATTTGGGTGTAATCTGATAGCACCTTCCAGCCTACTATACATCATTGTAGACGTGCTGACTTCACCGACTGCCAACACTATTGCGAAAATCAAAGTAAAACGTACAATAAGCTCTTTTGTTTAATTTCAAGGGGATCTAGTGCGCGAACTTGGGGTACATCCTTTGGAACAAGGCCTTTTAGTGTCCGCCCAAAAAGGCCTAAAGAAATATTCGGGTTGAAATCCGCCAGCTACTGTAAAATAAGCTCGTCATATTCCCATTTTTTGGCAGACAGTTAGTAGTATGCAGGTACTAAACGTTCTGCCATACTGACGGCACGGACATCGGCTGAAAGCTAGTAGCTACTAGGTAGCCGAGAAATAGGAATTACCCGTCAACTTATATTTACTTCCACAAAAGGTCGGGTGAATACATTGCAAAGTAAAGCTCCGATATCCGGACAGGCTTTCAAGTGCACTGTAAAAATGACGCTAAGACTGTATCGATTTCTACCGAATTGACATTTAAGGCACGTAATCGTGCATTTAAAACTGTCATTATTCTCATTTTCTGCGTACCGGTCCTTTTCATTTAAACTTCTCTCAACTGCTAGATACTCAGAAAGAATCCCTGACTATATTCTACCGAAGTGTATTCTGATTTTCGCTACCTTGTTTATTTTAAAAATGCAGGCTGTCTAAGACAGGTTTTACATACACCGCAATCCCTGAGCTAACGAAACCGCCACTAAATGTGGTTCTCCTTCTAGTGCGGAAACAATCCTCTTTGTGGAAAAATTCTCAAGCTGTTTGTGTAAACCATTAAGCTCTTCCCCAAACTACCACGCTCGACGACGCGGTCTTCAAAGAAAATTCTTAAGCGCAAGTTTGTTTAGTTTTTCAGCCAGATGGCGAAGTAGAATGCTCATACTTCAAGTTGAACAGGTTGCAGATGGGGAAAACTTCATTTCCTTTTTTGCTGAGGCGCTAGCTCGCATGCGCTACTTCAGCCGCAAAAAGAAGTCTACGTGTTGCTCAGTCACACAGCTTTTAAAAATCCAACAACCAAGCATGCGGTAAGTAATGATCCCTATTACTGTCTCCCTCTCTTGCTCAGTCTGATCCCGAACACGCAAGAAATACGTCTCATTCTTTGAAAAAGCTGACATATTGGTAGGAAATTTCAATTTCTGCCGACAGTTTTAGACATTTAGGTTGGCGTTGGGATAGTGAGCTGAGCCAACTTAAAGGATTGCCAAATGGCAGTGTTAGCTGCCGAGAGCCGCAGGAATCCCTTTCTGGGGTCTGTCATGCACTTTTTCGGTGAAACCTTACGGAACGACCAGCACTTTAGATTTTTATGTCTTTACTACAGGCAGCTTATGTCCTGTGTTGCCTAAACGCGGGCTGCTTCTCACAACATCTTAGACTGTTCGTTTCAGAGGTAACTCCAGCTGATGAGTTAAAACTGTGCATTCCACGGTTAGAGGATTTCCAGCTCAGAGTGCTGTACCCCTCGGTTGCGGTCCATTTGTTTTGGCGTTCTCTCAAGAGGTCACATGAATGAGTCCATCAGCGGAGCGCTTTTTACAGTAGGTGGGCTAACTCACGAAGTGTCAACCGAAATTCCCAAATGCATTCTCGTTTCGAAAAGATTGAATAAGTATGGTTGCAGAACTCATCATCATGCAGCATAATTCTACAGTGATCCTGTTACCGCAGGGTGCCGGGTTTCAAATGAACTTATTTCCGACTGCATGCTAGAACTATACTCTGCAAAAAATGACTGCTTAATTAGCATGCAATTTTCTCATTGATTTTAAATCTCCTTGAAAATTCAATCATATTTCATGGAATATATGCATAAAAATATTCATTCTTTTAAATATTTGATAGAAAATCACGTCATCTTCCAATTTTATACTCGAAGAAAGGGTATTATTCGGTTTTAAAAACTTTTCCAATTCCCGAATAATTTTGAACCCGACCTGCTGTTATACTTGCATTCAAGGTTTCCAAACTACAAGCCGTATATTTTCCGTGTGCAGAAACCATATATCTATCTCCGGTAATAAGAGGAGACCATGTGCGGTTTATACAATTAAGCAGTGGATGTGAGCAATAATTTTAGGTTTAAAAGCCACATTGGTATATGCAGATAAATGACGTTTTGTGAATGGCCTTTCACGGTATTAAACACTCTCACAATTAGAAACTTTTTGAAACCAAATTATACTTTTTTTGGAGTATAAAAGTGAAAGAAGACATTATTTGCTATCGAATAAATAAAAGAATGAATATTTTTTGCATTTTTTCATGAAATATAATTGAACTCTTAAGGGCATCGAAAATCAATGAGAAACTTGCATGCTTCATCAGTAGTCATTTGTTACAGAGTGCAGCTTTTGCATAAAGTAGGAGATAAGTTCGTTCGAAAGAAGACACCCTGAGGTAACTGGATCCGTACACAATTATACTGGATAATAATTAGTTTTACAACCAAACTTAATTAATTTTTTCGAAACAGTAAGGCATTTCGAAATTTCTGTCGAGATTTCATGAGTAATCCCATCTACTGTAGACTTTTAGGACTAGTCACATTTCACATGAGAGGACGAAAATTTCCAAAAACTAACCGCGGTCTTCCAGTGATGGCCACCCATTCTGAAAGTCTTTCTAAATACTTCCGAAATTGCTTCACATCCTTAAATAGCTTTTTTGGCGAGAACCGTCTTCCCCCCTCGTTGGAGTCCTCCTGAAAGGTGTCGATGAAGTTGAATCGAGGAAATGTCTTCTGCGTGCTCACAAGACAGGGTATCATCGTCAGAAGCAGCAGACACAGTAGCATGGTCGGAGAAATAGAATCCCTTCTCTTGTAGATCATAGTCGGCTGCTTTATTTTAAAAAAAAACATACACTTAAGTCATAGTTGCTATCTGCATCAGCACAGTATGATACTATGTAGTATGAGGAAGATAAACTGTCCCTGACACTGCTTGCACGTTTTCTCAACTTGCTGCAGGACACTGTACTAAAGGGTAAAACTGGAAAATGAAGACTGAAAGGACACTGTCGTCTAGGTTCATGCTTCCAATGGACCGAAGCCTAGCTCGTCTTCACAAGTAAGATAATTCCATTAATGCGGACCTGCGACTTTCCTGTGAGATAACATCTGAACAGAATGCAACTAGCGAGGAAAAACGAAATGCAAGTTTTTCTCGGTCAAATTTCTTGAGAACCAGCAGGAAGGGTATGGTTTTGGCCGGGAGTATTAACTCCTAGAAGCATTTATGTTAAAAAAACTAACTGGCGACATTTATTTGTATGTGCCAGAGAAAGACATAAAAAGCCTTCGCGATGACTGCTGTCCGAAGGCGCTCAAGGCGATACCTTTTTGAAAATGCTTGCAAAAGGACATGAAATTCACTTTCCATTATCATTCAGTGATAAAAATAGCGTTCCCTTCTAATTACTGAGAATATGGGGGATCGCGATATGCGATACCACAAAGTTCTTAGATGTTTGACCCTTTTAGTCAACACAAATGCTCTCGGGATAAGTAACCCCGGCCATAAACTGTACCCTTGCCGACCAGAGGACACTTAAACATAGCTCCATTTGAAGTGATATAAATAACAAATCCCAGGATCTGCCCTTGTTTATAAAATCCAACAAATAGGCAAAATATGTTTGTTTTTGCAGTCAAAAATCCCTGTAGTTATGGGTTTTTGTGAATTTGAGGTGTCAGCGTTGTCCGCTAGCGTGTCCATCGGAATGTATTTTTCACTGGAAAACTATAAGACGGCTTACAGGTTAAGCCAACAGACGTCACCATGGTTGGACAGAAATCTCTGTGCTTCATGCGAAATCATACAAGAAACTGACATTTCCGAATGTGCGACCACGTAGTATGTTACTCGTCGTGATAGTTTCATTAAATTACAGGCGTTTTGCGGAGCTTGGTGTTGTGTCCTCCGGTCAAGGAGTAAAACCCGGACAGAAATTCAAATGACTCGTTGAGCCGGCTAGTTCTTTCATCTGCGTTATCTGTCAGCATCTCAGAGCGGAGGGCGGTTCAGTCACCTCCTGAGATCCTGTAAACTCTCTCCGAGACTGTACGGAGGTTAGTTTGCCGACGTGGTATAAGCAAAGTTTTCGAAATCGTTAGCGAGTTGGCAATTTGTTCCAGCTAGACTGTCCCTTTGCGCAAACGTCGAATGTAGAGCTCTCAACGTTGTCAGACTTTTCAGAAAAGAGGTTAATCCCATATCAGTCCACGTTGTCCGAGTGTTGAGACTGCATCGTTCATGAAAGACGAAGTTACGTCTATCGCCTCTTGTCTGACCGAGGAAGTCTGATGAACGGTAAGCTGCCTTCGAGTGAATGCATTTGCTTGGGTCGATAAGCAAATCAAACCTCCAGCGTGCCAGTTCTGACGATAACTAACAATTACAACGGTAGGCGAAGTCGACGAAAGTAAAAAAAGGAGAATATTCGTACATTCTTTCCAATATTCTTCTCACAGTGCTCAGTCATATTGGCATAAACAATTTTTGAAAAATGAAAACAGCATTAAAAACAAGAGATTGCATGTTGGTGCTAGTGAGCCTATCTAAACTAATAACATCTTAGATGCTAAAGAAATTTACAGGTCAAAAATAAGTTACAAAAGTGTCAAAAACTCCCGAATGTTATTTTGGATTTATTCGACCAGGGAACTAAAGGCGTTTCTGATCGCTCCTTGAAAGTTATATACAAATCGACTTTAAACCAGAAACGGCATCAAAGCTTACATTTATTTCATGCATACCACGATGTGCCAACTGCAAATACTCTCGTCCAGTAGCGAGTACTTACCAGTTGCTTTCTCGAGCTGCGGTGGCCTTTGTACTCCTACAGTTTTTACTGGCTGAATGAGGGGGCGAAGACCGCCTGCGGACAAACTGTTTTCCAATTCGCCAAGCAGATCCGCGGAGCTAAGATAGTTAAACGAACCTGCCAATCAGGGCGCAAAGTGAACCTGCGTTTAAATAGACAGGTGGCGCAGGCGCAAAAAACAGTATTTTGCGTTGTGCAATTAGGGAGACATCAGAAGTTAAGAACAGCTACTGACAAGGTTTTATTTGGAAATTTGAGAAGCGGCTCAAGTGACATTCTAGGACGAACTGAGAATGCAAATTAGCCGGCATAAAATGGCATAATTTCATGGAATAAATGGACTGTCTGTAGAAGGTCGAATCTCCTCTGAAGCATTCTTATTACCTTATTTTCTTATCCGCGACTGTCTCTGATGATGGGTTCGAGGGAGAATCGGAAACGTTAGGCCAATAGATTTCTTGCTCCCGTGATCGCATCTTCGTCTTCTGTACTTTATTTTCTGGACTGTTCCAAGTTTTTCACAAGTACTTCTTCTAGATCATGCACCAAAATTCCGTTTACTGAAACGTTACTTTAACATGCTTTGAAAAGTACGTGAATAAATGTCCTCTGCTTCTCCGTAGAACGCTTAAAGGCGTCTACTTCTGTAATAATTTTGCTTAATGTTTATGGATTAAGTCAAATTTATTGAATGGGCGAAGAACATTCGACACAAAAGTTGAGACCTAGGTAAAAGGGAATCCGAGCAATACTTCTTTATAATCTAGACACCGCAAAGTAATTTCATTGTGTGCCGAAACTTGCAGTCATTAACATATTTTCTAACAAAAACTTTATTCAGAGAGGGTGGTGTTATATCAAGTAGAATGTGTATCAGCACTTTGGATTTTTTTAAAAAGACCCCGCTAGTCACGAATACCAAGCGCAATCTAAAAGAACGCGCTGCTACGATCTTCATGATTTTCGATGCTTGTGCGAATCACGTCTTTTCCAGCCTACTACGCTCTCCTCCTGCTCCGGCTTCCCTCCCCCCCCCACCTGACCCAGTGGGGGAGGAGGAGTGAGTGAGGTGGAGGCAGCGCAAGTTCACATTCACTAAAGCTAAATCACGCGCAAATCACTGTGTCTGCTTCACCGTGCTGTAGGGTACACTGTTGACATCGTCGGCAACGACGGTCGAGCTATTGCGTCTTTTTAAAAAGATTACGCATGGGAAATATTTTAAAAAGTTATGCAACCTACAGGAAAACGCCAAATCTGTTCAGAAGGCTTGTAATTGCATGTGTATTTCTAAAATAGTGTCCGCAAAACGGACCTGCGGACTAACATCGGATTCTGTCTGACTTTATCGAGAATGCACACCCATAACAAATGTCAACATTCTGGATGTGGTGGTAGACCCGGTTGCCGGCGCACTCCGTGTTAGCTGGGGCACCTGTCGCCTCTCCCCACTGTTGTTATTGGTTAGGATTCTGATTAAGTATTTTTTGTATACCAGGGGTGTGGGGGCACACCTGCGCCCTCAACTGCCTCCGGTCTTCTAGATTATGTCTTGAAAACGGGCCTGGATGGGAGAGGGCGAGGATAAGAGAGTGCGGTAGATGTTGTGTAAATATACCGCCATTATAAACTAATTCACGCACGCATCACCGTGCCTGATTTTACCCTGCTCTGAAGCACACGGTAAACATTGTCGATCACGGCGGTCCACCTATCACTTTTCTAAAATAAAACCTACGTTTTTGACTTCTTAAACTCTCTGTTGTGCCTACAGTAGGTGAGCTAACTCATGAAATGTCAACCAAAATCCAAAATGCGTTTTTGTTTAGAAAAAATCAATTAAGTAGGGTTGTAAAATTAGTCAGCCTGCAACACAATTCTATAATATTTCAGTTAACTCAGGATGCCGCTTTTCGAATGAACTTCCTTTCGGCTGTATGCGAAAACTACATTCCGTAAGAAATGACTACATACATAAGTAGCATGCATTTTCCCCATTAATTTTCGACGCCCCTAAAGGTCCAATTATGTTTTATGGAAAACATGCATAAAAATATTCATTCTTTTGCACATTCGGTAGAAATGATGTCTTCTTTCAATTTTATACTCGAAGGAAGGGCATAATCCGGCTTTCACAACATTTCAAATTCCCGAATAATTTTGAATCCGACCTGCCGCTACACTTCCCTTCAGGGTTTCCAAACTGCAAGTCATGTATTTTCCCCGTACGGAAAACCACACAGTTCTCTACGGTAATAAGGGGAGACCATATAGGGTTCATAAAATTAGGCAGTGAATTTTATCCATATTGTTAACTTTACAAGCCACATGGGAAATGCAGAGACATGGCAATTTATGAATCGCCTTTTTACGGTACTTAAAAGTCCCACTATTCAAAATTTTTAAAACCGCATTCTATCCCTCTTTCAAATGTAAACTTGGAAGAAGACGTGATTATCTACTGAGTGAGTAAAAGAATACATATCTTTATGCATGCTTTCCATGAAATATAATTGGACTTTTAGGGGCATCGAAAATCAATGAGAAAAATTCGTGCTGTTAATGTAGTCATTTTTGCAGCCGAAGAGACGTTCATTCGAAAGCCGGCATCCTGGACTAACTGAACTATTATAAAATTACATTGCAGTCTGGCTTATTTTACAACCCTACTTAATTAATCTTTTTGAGACGAAAACTTATTTCAGAATTTCAGTTGACATTTCATGAGCGAGCCCACCTACTGTATTAAGTGTTTTCCCAAAAGTTACCCATATGT